AGACGATGCAAATGTTTTTCTTATTTAAATTGTAAATTCTTTTGATCCATTGGCAAAGTGTTTCACTTTCTTCCTCAATTCCACAAAAAATGCACTAATTTTAATTTAAAAAATGACTTATTTAGATAATTTTTTAAGCAAAAAAACAAAATTACACATTAATGCTCAGCGCTAAGCCAGCAACCACTTTTCATCATCAGCGTTCTGCCGCCCAAAATCAGAAGACAGCTGACTTCACTCAGGCTAGCCAGAGCTTTTAGACAATAATGTGAAGACTCTGGGGGTCCAAGCAGACCCACAGCTGCTGTTCATTAAATATTGGATCATTTCTCTGGATGGACATGAACGTTTTACATTCTACAAAGGTTCCAAGAACCAAATAATAAAAATTATCACTAACGGTGTTCGTTTTAAATCATTTTAAAATTAAATATTGATAAAGTTACACTTAGTAACTAAATGGAAATTTAAAGCAACCAGCAGAGGGCGACCAAGCTATAAAAAACATTGTCCTCTGGCGTGAATATAGGACCATTAACTTGATGACCCAATGCAGTTGTGGCCCATCATGACGTTATAGTGTAAAATGCATTGAATAAATCAATGAATCTTTAAATTCTTCAGATTCCCATTGTTTATTTGTTTATGCCTTTGTGGTTACAACCTGCACACATTTCATGAGTGTTTGGGGACGAGGTTGTAATAAACTGTCATAAAGCAATGCTGTGCCATGTGGTGTGGATCAGCATTCACAAAACTGACGTCTCATGCAATCTTTAAATCATTCTGAAGGCGTTGAAGAACTTCTTGAATTTCGGCTTTGAACTGTTTGTCTTTTTTTTCCCCTTTCATTCTTTTCTTGAGTCCAAACACATGGTGACCAGCTATCTTCCAGAGGCGGCAGCATTCCTGACCTAAAAAGCCCCAACAGTTGGTTTTCATAATCGCACTGCCATACAGATGACAGCAAGATGAAACTTGTTTTTGCTGTTTTCTTTATGAACGTTAATCATTTTAATGAACAGATTTCTTTTAAAGACAAAAAAATGAACTTATTTCCTTTTAAGGCACATTAAGCTTATTTTCAGACACATGATGCAGCCTCACAGACAGTGTATGATAGTTGGGGAAGCACTATAGGATCTATTCCTAAGCTTTAAAATGACTATCAATACAAATATCAGGAAATCTGTAATTTGCTTGTGCAAATTCTTAGTCATCCGGGTCTCGGCAACTACAGTTGATAAATACTCCTGGATTGGTGTCTTCCTACATTTCTCAATATTTTTTGGTCCCAAATTACAGAAGCTAATTCTGCAGCAAAAAGAGATGCATGATAACTGCTGTACTTTTAAGGTGGGCTATGTTCAGTGATATTAACAGTTAAAGCGATTTATAATACACCTGGTGGCAGACACTATAGTTCTATCCAGCTACTTTCTACAGGTGGAAATCATGTGATGCAACCGTCAAATAATTATGAGTGTAAAAAAACTAATTTTAATTATGTTTTCAGACCACCAATTAAAAATGCCTATTTTAAAAATGTGTATCAATTATGAATCATGGTTCAGTGTAATAAATATAACTAATGAACCAAACAAACAAAGGCAGGAATCCTAATGGGACACAGCTGAGGTAGACTTTTGACATAAAGATTTGGCTATATACCCAGGGCATCCTTTTCTTATGGCGGCTACCTGCCCACCTATTGTGCTAATTGTTAACATGACTATTTACAGAGATATTTTGAAATAGAGGCAGTGATAAAGAATCATAAAAATAATCAACAAACTAATATATTTAGTAGGGATCCCATTTTAATATCAGTTATAAAAAAGAATGAAGCAACTATAACTGTTTTAACCTCTAAAGGAGTATTAACTAGTTGTTCCAACAATGTAATATCCACAGTTCCCCTCAGTTAACCCTAAATGTACAGAATTTGATGCATAGCCTGGTGCTGCATGTAGTTCCCACAGATTGTGTTGACTGTCCAGTGATAAACATGGAAGTCATATCAAAATAACTTACACTAAGGATTTAAACATCTGACTGTTTAGTTATCTCAGCTCTCCAAACCTGTACTTAAATGTTGTACTATTATCTGCATCTGCAATAATAATTAGTGCTTTATAAAGTTTTATTTTTGCTTTACTTTCCATTGTATATTTACTGAGTGTATGACACACCACAAGATTTGATTATCTTTAATTGTTCTTTTTATGGTTATGACAAATGAAGGGTTGAAGTCAAATGCACTGGCAAAAATGTTATCACCTAAGTGTAATAGCATCAGTGGCGGTTCTGGACCAAATGTACCAGGGGGCCAGCGCGTTTTCATGGGGGCACAGAAAAGCATGAAATAATAATAAATAAAAAAAACAGGGCAAGGGATTAAAATGTATTAAGATAGCTGCATGATGTGAAATTTCAATTCAATTGGGTTTAATTTAAATTTCACATCTTATTAGGTCAATATACATTCATAATTTGGGAATTTAACATATTTTTGACTTAATTTAAGTTATAATTACCATTTTCTGTCAAATCTGAATTAGAACACAAGAAAAACTGATCAATGCAGCAGTAAAAATTTGAGCAATTTGTTTTGAAAAAAAAAAAAAAACATTTAGCAGATGAAAACTGGGATCCTATCTCAAAACCACTGAAGCTATCACCTTATTGTTTTTAAATAATTTTTAAAACAGAATTTGTAAAGTAAAAAAAGGAAATAGATCCAAAGGACCCATCAATAACCATGTCTGTCTCAGTGTATATCATCATTAGAATTTCTTTGAGTATTATCTCTTCAGTACAGGGGCCATAACAGGGGCCATGACATGATCTACAGGTGCACTGGCCCCCGTTGGCCCCTGTCTAGAACCAGAGGCAAAGCCAAAATTTTTTAATAAAGGTAGCCAGGCAATAACCATTGTACACTGAGGGGTGGCCGAAAACGAATAGGCGCCAGAACAAGATCAAGATCAAGATCAATCTACGCTGTTCCAACAGGAAAATTTATGAGCGAAACATCCATATTTTCTAAATAAAGACAAACTATACTTTCCTACAGCCTTTGCTAACAAATAGACGCATAGATTCAAACATCCATGCTTTCTAGATAAAAGGTATATTGGATAAAATACTTTGAGGTTTGAGTTTTGGGAAAACATCTTTTCCATTGTAGTTTCTTACCTACTTTTATCAGTACCGGTAATCATTCTTCATAAAATTGATATGTACAAGTACTAATAACTTGATTTATTGAAATAGATACCTATCTATGATTTCACTGAAGACTCCTAAACGACTTGCAGCGACACATCATTTTCTCTTTGCCCCATAAAACACAAAATCTATTTCTACTTGAATTCTGTACTTATCATCTTTAATGTTAGTACATTGATGTGCATAATTAATCAGTGTTTTTGTTTTTAAGTAATTGTTAATATATGAAAAATTACACAAACAATCACAAACAACTACCGTACTGTACAAGTGCTTGGTTCCCGGTACTTAGAGATTAACTTCCATACAGAAAGCCTATATTCTTATCTTCAGCTACCACAGTATACATGTCAGATTAAATAATACTACTTATACTTCAGTGATAGTATCTAGGTGTTACTTTATTGTATGTCTCGTACCATTTCTGTTGGTTGTGCTGTTCTTTTTACATCTCTTTGCAGGTGATGAAGCAGACTGAAAATGTTTTATCATTATTTCCCTTTTATCTCCTCTTCCTTTCATCTTTCATCTTTTCTCTTTTTTCTGTTTTTCCTTTCCTGTTCTACCTACAGTGCAGTGTCCATATAATCTGTAAAACTCCCTGCATAATTATAATAAAGCAATTTATATGCATAAACCAAGCGGAACACTGTGGCGATAGCCGTACTGCTCCAATTTTGAAAGTAAAATATGTTGGGCTCTTTTTGGCAGCAAGACAATTATTCTTATTGC